CGCCGGGCAGAAACAACGTCCCGGCGAATGTGTGTTGTATCCCACCGTGCAAAAAACGAGAAGCAGAAAAATTCTTGATACTACACACTATTCCACGGCACGACAGAGTAATTTCACGGGCCGCCGTAAAATTTAATTGGTGCTCTTGGGAATGTAAATTCCCTCCAATAAATTCCCCGACGGGTTCGTACTTCGAAGGCAGCCGTTCGCGATACGCGGAGAGAATATCGTTTTGACACGCATAAATTGCTTCCGTATAGTAATTTCTAGGACGAAATTTTCTTCTCTAGGCAACGCCTCGAAACTGTACAAAAAAAAAGGATACGGAAAAGAGACGGTTCGCGATAGAATTGAACGCGACGACGAGTACAGAAATGGTGAAAAGCCGTTGTCGCGAGGCGAGCCGCAGACCGAAGAAGCTCGCAAGAAATAAGCCTACATTCGAGATCCGTTTGACGCGCGCGCACGCGACCGTTGGATTCCCGGTGTATCTCGAGAACCTTCGATTCCGCGACTCGTGTCTCTTTCCCACCTCGCGGAAACGCAGAAAACAAACTTGTGCGTCGACTTATTATGAAACGCCGGGACACGATATCTCCGCGCAAACGGGTGTAAACAAGACGATCGCATTAATTTGCTGCGCACGTGAGACCCGCTGTATTCAGTCGCATGACAAATAGTCGCAAACGTCCGTCGTCGAATTCTTTCGCGGGGAAAAATATCTTTCCTTTTCCTGCGTATTTGTTTACGTGCCGTTTTTCGGACGAAGGGGAGTGGTCGGAGAGAAAGAAAGAAGGATGCCCATTGCATAAGCTATATTTAACTGCACCTGCTGGCGCCAGACTATTCGCACACGCATTCGCATGCATCGTTGCATATTATACGCGTTGCTATACAAGACGCAACGCTCTCTGGCGTCGAACGTCTGTTTCATTCGACGGAACACGAGCGAGCACTCCATGCTCTCTCTCCCTTTCTAGCAAATTTTTCGCCAATTTGCTGTTTCAAAGATCGAATTTCACTGCTCGAACGCTTACGAGATACCCGACGCGTCCTAACGGTTTAAAATTTATATGAATATTGCGAACGATTTCTATTTATACATTGAATATTTGGGTTTCAAATATACATGGTTGAATCACGTTTAGAAATTTTTTAAACTTCTTAACCTTGAATAATACTGCCCCACCTCGCTTTGTCAATTCGTAAGCACCGATCTAATAATATAACGGGTTGGATCATACTCGAATAATTGAGAGAGAAAGAGGGAAAGGAGAAAATATCGGTGGTCAAAATGTGCTTCTCAGACGGCTAAATATGGCGCGCTACCGAGCGACCTTAGAAAACCGCTACAAAGCGTTTAATTTAATTAGGCTTCGCGAAACGCACCGATGACGATGAGCCCGACCAATGGGCGTGTCCGTGTCCACCGACACCCGCCTACCCGTTTCCAGTGTTCCTCGTGTATGATTAGACTGTAGGTCCAATGGGGGGGGGAGCATGTTTTCATAAAATTCTAGGAAAAGATTGCTTGCGATACGTCGCACGATCTGTCGGCTCTATAACCTAAACCGATCGAACACGTGTATCGTTCCAGAGCAGTTGGAAAAATGAACAAAATAAGCGGAAATAAAATATAAAAATAGTAGTACCAGAAGACTAGGCACGTGGCATCCATGTTCAAGTTATGCGGGTTACATAATCCCAACGAAACTATCGATACATCCCGGACTTTTGAAACCGTCGCCTATTTTCGAATATCTAATTACTTCGATATAGAGATGAACCTACGAAAATCTTCGTTTCTGGTCTCGAATACGATTCCCTGTAAATTCGGTGAGCAGAGTTAAAAATATTCACTTACCAAGCTGGAGGCAAGGGATCAAGGATCTTGGATCAGTGTCCGATCTGCCGGCGTCGTGGGTTCGCGACCAAGTCCTGCAGGGCCCCTCGGACGATCGATTCTTCGGCAAGGAGGCAGCGTAGAGGGCGGCGAGGAAGAACCGGTGCACCACTCCAGATACGAGACGTGACGCACACTCTCGAGCAAAGTGCACGATGACTCGGCGCCGCCTTCCGTCCTGCTACCCAGCGAGGCTCGAAAAAGAGACGGAAGAGCCAGGAGATTCGCAGATCACTGAGAATCGCACAGGAGAGAAGGAAGGATATAACCGTCGAGTCGTGCAGGCCCGAAAACCGCACTGTCAGCCGGAAGCGTGGCACACGATCGAGAACGAGCGCGAAGGGAGTAGGAGACAACGGAAGGTGGAGAAGAGAGCCTTCGTTACCGAGCAAAAAACCGAGGAAACCCGGAGGAGTGGGGACGACGTAGACGCGTACGAGGGTAGACTTCCTTCCTCTTTCGTGAACGCGTGTGCGACAGGATGCGTACGAACCGGCTTCGCCGTAGACGTCGGGCGTGCTTCTTCCTTGCGTTTCCCGCGAAGTCTCTGATCGAAGGGATCGAGAACTTCCCGCACCGGGGATTGAAACGAGTCCGAAGCGCGAGAAACGAACCGTTGCGCTCCGAACGAAGACGAACTCGAAACTACTCATACGCGATCGACCACCATAACTGGAGGAACGAACGACGCGGACTGAACTGCGCGGAGGCTGGCGAGAACTCTGCCAGTCACGGGTGCGCGTTTCCATCGCGCCGACCGGTAGTGGGGGTAAAACGACGGCGCGTGAGAGTGCGTTCGTTCCACTGAGCGACGGAAACGCGGTGGGGTTAGGGTTCGCGCGGATACCAGGAGCGGGGATGCGCCCGAACGCACCCCGTGAATGACGCAGGTGGCGGCTACGGACAATGACAGCGTTTGCGCATCGCTACCGTATTCTGCTAATTATTTCTTTAATTACGCGCCGTCGTCCGACCAATTCGTCCTGATTTCAATTAAAAAAAAAAAAAATGAATCGAATATAGACGAGAATAACAGGTCGTGATAAAAATTAAAATCAATCGAACGCCATGTCGGTCCTTGGGGATCAACGGTACCAAATCTTAAAAAATAATACTAAAATAATTATTATTTCTAAAAATAATGAATGATTCCTGAAACTCGACGGTAGAATTCGCAATTGTTTCGTTACGATTCTCCTTGTCTTTCGCCAACGTCCTCGTTGACAGATATAAATCTCTAAAGAGCGCGTGAATCGGTATATTTCGCTGCTGGTCGAAGACGACGCGTAACAGTTGCAAATATGCACATATCGCCATATTTTACGACACGCTACGACAGAACGCTTCGTCACCGAGTTCAAGGCGCGCGCGTTGATAACGCCTCGTTCGCAGGCTTCTTGTGGCATTTATCGTGTTACCTCGTGAACTCCGTTATATTTGGTATTCTAAATAAAAAAGTGAAAAAGAAAGAAGAAGGGGAGCGATCGCGGGGAAAAAATTGTCGATTAATTATCGTTCGTATCGCGGCCGGCGAGGATTGCGACACCGCAATCTTTTATCTGCCTCGATTGCCGCTCGATACGCGTTTTAACGAGAACGATGATTTACATCGTCTCGGCTGGATGAAATCTCACCCCGTTCGCTGCTCTATCGTTTTACGTAACCAGTGCATTTATACTCCACGTCGGTAATAATCTTATCGGCGAAGAGCGACCCCGACGACCCCGTGTTTTCTCGACGCGTCGTCACGAATTGAAAAAATTTTATCAAGCTGGAAACTAACGTTCCCGATCCCGCTTACGAAATAGGGTGAGCTACGCTCTATCGATAAATAAGTCGGACATATGAACGGGGCCCTAATAGGCGCAAAACCGAACGGACACGTCGAACGTTGCATCATGGTACATACTTACAGTTTCGTCTCTACGTTCGACGAAAGATGTGATTCGCATGGATTAAACGATCGTTTTTGCTGTTACGAAAAAATTCATCCGTCTATCCAATCAAGAGTAGATAAAATTTTCTCCGACATAAAAACTGCGCGATAAATCATAGTTGATAATTACCCCTTATCTCTACTCAAGCACGATATTCGAACTGGGAACATCCGTACAGTGCGGTGTACAGAAATAGTGAATTAGGTTAACTAACCATTTTAGTAAAAAATGATTGATCTATACCGAGAGCTTAACATTTTTCAATAATCTAATTTATTTAAGACTTACGGAACCGATCAGATATTTTTACGTGTTTCAGAAACAATAATTAAATGTTTTTTACATGTAGAACTAGTTGTTTACAACTTATTGTCGATTCTGTAACTACAAATATTTTAGATAGACCACTTTCAATAAAAATTCATTTCTTGGTAGCATTATTACACTTGTATGGTTTTACCAAAAGTTAATCTTTTTCTGAGAAATGGCTGCACGAAATCATATGATGCGAGAAAGTTGCCAAGACGTAACATTCCTACCTCCTCCCAAGTTAGAAACCATATCTAAAACGACTGATAAAACTGTTTGTGCCACGTTTTGTGTTTGGTTGACGCATCGAAGATACCATTATAGTTTCGAACTATCTCCGAATAAAGTCTATTTTACTTTTGGATTATAAATAGCTAATAGAAACCTTCCGAGAAACGAGATAAATGGTAAAAATAACTGTAGATACGTCTCCATTCTTACAGAAAGCAAGCAAAACCTTTGGGTCACATTGGTCGGGTACTTTACTGAAAAATTATTTAATTCCAAAGTTCGATTTCGAGTCAGATTCACGCAAATAGTGCACGAGGATTAAGATAACATTATTTGGACCTACCACGTATTTTTCTTACAGATAATGACTATCTTTTTAGTAAATATAAGTAGTTAAATCTTGTGTAGTCGGTTTCGATTCTTAAAATAACAACTTAATCTTGTCTTAGGAGATTATTTAGAAAGTTCTCTTCATAAAATTCATGTTTAATTGATAGTAGACGCGGAGGAGCTGTGGATTTCCATTCTTCGTTCCAGTTGCTTTGTATCCTCAGTATTATGAGAGAGGTCAGGTTGTTTGGCATTAAAAGTTGATCGTAAGATGATGTTACAAGATTTCCTCTTTCGCCATTTTATCTGCCAGTTCATTTTTAACCTAAAAAATGGTGTTTAGGCGATATTAATAGCAGCGCCTATTTTAAATGTGTCGATTGGTATAATTCTTGTAACGTGACATGCTAAAAATGATAGAAAATCGTAGTTGCCCCTTCTTTGGTGCAATATTTTTGGCTTGAGTATTATAATCGAATCTTTTTACCGCGTTCTCGTTTGACGGGAGAAGAATCGGACCTGTCCACGGAACAACGCGCAGCGTCATTGCAAGAACAGAGCCCCGGATAGATCGTGACCACACCTTTTGTATCGTGAATCGCTAAACGAGGTTCGTCTAAAAACGACGACTGCAAAACTGCCGCTGCGCGTCCCACGGGAACGGAATATTGAAAATTACCTAGTCCACAAATAGTTCGGTTTTTCAAATGCAAATGCAATTCTTTTTTGTTCAAGACGTTGGTCATGAATATATGGAAGCCCCGAACTTCCTGAATATTTATCTGCGTCTATTCCATTCTCCTTTGGATGCGCATTAGTATGCCGTTTTCCTCGTTACACCGTTACCAGGCTAATTCAATATCCTTCCGATGGAAGAAAGGACACTTTCTCATTAGCCTACAAAACCCATAAGCGTTACACAGCCCACAGAGAACGAAAGTCCTTCCACGAAAACGCTACGCACACTAACAACAGTCGTGGAACAACGAACGAACCGAGAAAAAAATTGTTTACCATCGCATTAGTATTGTCGTCGTCTCGCACGGATATTCGATCTCGTATCATATTACATGCAATACTTGGCGGCCTAGTAGGAGGGAACGAGACCTTGAACCTCATCGCGTTGGACTCTGTTAGATTCAGGAGAAGAATACGTGTCCTTTTCCAAACAATAACATCGTCCGATCGAGTTGAGCGTTCACCTTGGTGGTCTGGCAGTTGGAAACACAAACCAATGTAAAATGTATTCCAAAGTCGGGTATCTATTCGTCGCCTATCGTTCGAGTAAAAAGTACCCGTCCAATTCTGACGGGCGAATTTATTCCGACGGGTTTTCGCTCGGAAATTTCTAAAAGATAACTACAAGAAGAATTCTAGACGGTAGCCAACAAGAGGCAACCTAAATCGAGTAGAAACTCTCGCGCGCTTATTCTCGTTTTCCCTTTTGCTGATCCTCTCCCAGCCGCTTCTCGAGCCGCGACGCGAGGATGCAGCGGGTTCGGTTGGCTCGTTTTCAAGGAATAAAGAAAAGAAGAAAAAGGTGGAAGGTGGTAGAGAAGGGAGGAGTGAGTGAGGAAGGAATTGGCCATCACGGCCAGTGACACGGCCCGCGATCGGCATATCTCCTTGACCACGTCATCGTCGAACAGTGGCCCCGTGGTAGGGCGAGAATTTGCGGAGTGTATTAGTAGGCCATGACGAAAATACCGGGCAGTCCGGATAGTAATAGCGAGTATCTAGACGGCATTGACCGCACCCGAATCCGTGCAGGTCGTTCCCCGTTCTCCTCGTTCGTCACGGTGGTCGTTAAAGTCGCATTTAGAGGAGGACATCACCGGGATGCATTTCAGAGACACATTTAGGAACGATCGCGGTGCAGCTAAACGTCGCCTCAAATTCTTTCGCATATCGCGCTCTTGAAACACAGGGGTCCACGAAACGTTACAGCGATGTAACACGAATGGGCCGTACCGCGCTGGATCGGCCACTTTCCCAACGTCCAGGTCAGGGAACTTGTACGATGTTTGGAAATATTGTATTCCGTATGAAATTGACCGTCGTATTTGTCGTATTTAGAATAATCACGACGAGATCGCTTCAAAGAAACAATCGTGGCAGATCAGATCTCATTCTTCTCGACGCTGTGTTGCATTCGATGTGAGGTTATGTAGTCTTCCACTGACATTTATCGGTACAATAATTTCGCGATTAATGATCAATAGGTTGATCGTGTCTGATCCTTGATCGTTTATATTATTCATTAATCATGATTACTGAATTAGTCTGTAACGGGGATCATTAATCACTTACTTGAGTCGTTCGTAAAATTACAATTTTCCCAACGCTGGCACGCGTTTGCAAAGAAAGACTTTGAATAGCAATAAATAAGGTACTTGAGCGTATTATACGAGGCACAAGACAGTGTGATGATTCCACGTGGAAAAGTGAATCGAAAATATATAATTACGCGTGCCGTAACTCAATGAAACAGTTTTAAGTAAATCAATCTAGAAATTATTATACGGTTTGGCTGTCTCTCAAATTGTCGCCGCTTCAAACGGAAAGCTGACAAGCGAGTGTCAAAATTCCGTCGCGACGTGATTGACGGTGGGGAATGTAACCTTGGACCTTGAGCGACCAGTCGATCTCGTCTCGTCCGTAAAACCGAAATTCCCGCCCGGAAACGGAAAACGGAAGGCAACCCTCGCTTCCTATCAATTATTCATAAGACTCGAGGAGAACGTAAGAGGCTCAGTCGCGAACGTGGCCACAATTTTTTTACGACGGATAATATCGAGATACGCGTTCGATCGTAAATTTACATCGCGCGAATATAATTCCGGATAATCGATCGAACGGTGGAGGAAAAGCTCACGTATAAAGCAGAGACAACATTTTATAAATATAATAGATTCAGTTTATCGGTCGTAGACTGTTCCGGGCGTAGACCGCTTAAATCAATTCCATCGGCGATCGTCGCGAAACGATAGCGTAACGGGAGGGCCATTTTAATTACCGTTAATGAGCGTTGCTCGGGTAATGGAACGCGTTTCCTCGTCGGGCACGAATACCGGCGTCTGGATGCGGGACGTTCGCTCGTAAAAGAGACATTTATTGGTCGTAAACGCATGCTGGCTGTATCTTCGGGACCCTGGCGACTGAAAAGCCGAACCGTTTGATCGTTTCGTGGCAGCACGGTCGGTTAGGAACCGTGTAACAATGGGGGCGTACGTCGTTGACAAACATGGGAGCGGCGTATTGGGTCGATGGTAAAAAAAGAAAGGACGGAGGACTGGGATAGAGAATTATATCCCGACTCGACCTTTCTACCTACTGTTGCATGTGTTTCGCTACGTTTATATGTACCTAGGTGTGGCCTATGTGTTCTTTCGCCTCTGAACTATATCATGCTTCCGGTATAATCGTCCAGGAAAATATTCTGGCGAACGGATTAATCGCGGACCGCATGAAATATGATTTTTCTTTTGTTCGCGCTTTAATTGTCGAAAGCTTCAACCCAGTGGAAATTCTTTAACTGTTTAAGAAAAATTTTCTCTTTAATGAAATTCTCTGTATTACCAGTTATTGATAAATGTATGAGATTCTTTTAATATTCCAAAATGTCACGCTCGCTTATTGTTAGTATGTATACAGGGTGTTCGGCCACCCATGGGAAAAATTTTAACGGGATATTCTAGAAGCCAAAATAAGACGAAAATCAAGAATACTAATTTGTTGATGGAGGCTTTGTTAAAAAGTTATTAACGTTTAAAGTTCCGCCCGTGCTGAATTTTTTTCTCGAAAATGCGCAGGATTTTGGGGGTATGTCTGTTCACCAAAAATGATTGTAATTGACCCACGTAACCGAAAATAATTTTTCCAGAACGATTTGAAACTTTTATTTTCCGTTGAAAAATTTCACACCTTTTCGAATTTTTTTCTAGATAGTGGGTAGGATTTCGGGGGTATGTCTATTCACCAAAAATGATTGTAATTGGCACCCGCAACCGAAAATAATTTTTCTAGAACGATTTGAAATTTTTTAATTTAATTGTTAACAACTTTTTAACGTTTAAAGTTCCGCCTGTAGAACGGCAATCTGTGAACAGCTGCGTACGCGTGATAGTGATTCTCACTCGAAAACTGTAAGGCTGTCGATACGTCACTAGGTAGAGTTTCTTGTGCTGAGTGAGCACCACTATCGCGCGCACGCAGCTGTACGCAGGTTACCTATCTACAGGCGCAACTATAAACGTTAATAACTTTTTAATATATATTCTTGATTTTCGTCTTATTTTAGCCTCTAGAATCGCCCATTAAAATTTTTCCCAGGGGTGGCCGAACACCCTGTATATTGTCATATGTACTTATAATATAGGCAGTTGAAAACATACATCATATTTCAATTCCTTTTGCGGAAAATTCGTTTTATATAGAAACTGATAACAATTATTATTTGTAGATAATAATACCACATTCCCGATAATCGGAACACTTTCCAATATATTGATACGTCACATCGTGCATGATTGACCTTATGCACTTCATTCCACGCTATCGAGCTCTATATTTGTTTCAACGTACGATATATTATTTTCAAGAACAAGCGTACCGAGCTTGTATTTATCATTGTTTTATCAACAAAATGTACCGGCACAAAAAAAGCGTTAAATTCTGTAAGCAACTATTTTTTACTTAACGATGCGTTGATGTAAATGTGTAGAAAATATTTCAATTTTGTTGTTCTCCATTGTATTTTTAACCAACTCGGGTCGGTTGGGAAAAAACCTTTGAATCTGAATGTTGTCAAAATACGATAAAAAAAATTCATGTACGAATGAAACGTACATGAAAGTTTACGAACGAGTCTAAAATTTTTATTCGTTTTCGTGAATAAAAATTTATCCGACTCTGATGCGACCTGAAACCACGATCGATTTAGAGAAAATTTTCGTGTGCACGAGGGCGCAATTAAGGCGCAAAAGAAATAGAATTTCCACGTGGCGGGTTCAACGTTTTCCCAGTTATTTCTCGCGGCAGTGGCGCAGCCACGTAGGGTTCATTAAAAATATATACAAATCCCCGTTTCGACGGATACACGCGGCCCTGAGATTCACCAAAATAGTTTCAGTATGTACAATCTTCATTATTTGTCCCGTGCGTGGTTAATTCCAGCTCCGAGTAACAGGTTCTTTCCCGATAACTTTTTCCAGCACAAAAGTTTCCAGTGAGGGGGTTATTCTCGTTGGGGGACGTTGATTTCAAGCGATATCGAAAATAACTGATCACTATTTAATTATAGAACAAAGATTTGAAAGTACAATTATTTAAAATATTCAGTTCATCCGGTAACCTAAGAAATTACTATTTTTTTTGTACAGGTTGTTCGGCCACACCAAAAAAAATTAAATTAAAAAATTTCAAATCGTTCTGAAAAAATTATTTTCGGTTGCGGAGGTCAATTACAATCAGTTTTGGTGAATACATATACCCCCGAAATCCTACCCTACTTTTGGGAAAAAAATTCGAGTAGGTGCTGAAATTTTTCGGCGAAAAAAAAATTTTTCAAATCGTTCTAAAAAAATTATTGCCGGTTCCAGGGGTCGAATACAATCATTTTTGGTTATTACACATACCCCTGAATTCCTTTGTATTTTCGAGAAAAAAATACCTCGCCGGAAATCTAACGTGAGGCCAAAAATGCTTCCCTCATGCGTATCTTTAAAATGTCATAACTTCTGAACGGATTGGGGGATTTCAATGTCTCAAAAAGCGAGCGACGCGTATTTTGGTCAAGAATATGTAGAAATTCCAAGAATATTCGAAAAGCTGATCCTTAACCCCGTAAAGTGAGAAAAACACTATAAAAATGGCCCAATCTTCAAACGTCCATAACTTCTACAATAGTGAACGTATTTCAATGAAATTTAATATGGAAGCAGAGCTCATGGATACCTACAAAAATGTACTTAACAAAATTTCCGTAGGACGTCAAACAAATTGATTGAAAATGAAAAACGAATTTTTAAGAAAAATCGAAAGGGGGTAGGTGCCTACATTTTTCGACAAAAAAAAAATTTCAAATCTTTTTGGAAAAATTATTTTCGGTTGCGAAGGTCAATTACAATTATTTTTGGTGAATAGACATACCTCCAACATCCTGCGCATTCTCGAGAAAAAAAATCAGTACGGACGGAACTTTAAACGTTAATAACTTTTTAACGAAGCCTCTATCAGCAAATTGATATTCCTGATTTTCGTCTTATTTTGCCCTCTAGAATCTCTCATTACAATTTTTTCAGGGATGGCCGAACACCCTGTATAGTGTTGATAAGGTCAGGATACGAAATAATAAACCCAGACGGAATTAACGAACAAGAAATTTATCAAATCAAATATGGCTGTACGTAATGCGACGATCGCGACGACGCAACGAAACAATCCGACGATCTCGAACATTTACAGCTCTTGTCTCAGCAGACGATGACTGAACACCTATGTATACAATGCCTGAGAAGAATGCTCGTCCATTTTTCTAATATATAGAATGAGTCAACAATGTTGCCGCCGCCGCCGTTTATAAATTTAATAAATAAATTTTAAAAAATATTCCCGGTAATGATCCTGTTAAATGTTTGATAAAAATTATTTTCCCTCGGGGTTGCCTAGTAAATAGAAGAGAAATAACGACGGGGGCGAGTAAACGTAACGAAATTGTACGAAGGACAAACAGGCCAGATAACCCGAGTACTCGGTTAGCAACACGATCGTCCGACTATTACGAGAACGATAACAAGCACGTATGCGTCCGTCTTGGTATCTGGGGTTATCGTTTTCCTTTTTTCTTTCTTTCTGGGGCCAACCGAAGAGGGGAGCGTTAACTGCGAAGGATCAGAGTGGACTATGGGTCATCGGAAGAACCGACAAACCATCTCGACCATATCCATTCAAATTTATTTAGTCCCACCATTTCGATCGAACGACGAAAATATTCCTCCACGTTGCATTAAAGTAATCTACTGTTTCAATTGTCCGTATTATCGCGTACCAATGTTCATGGGAACGAATGTATTTAGTTTCTTCAAAGAATACATAAACACGATATTTTTAGAACATTCCATATTACGTAACATTGTTAAGAAACGTATTTTACATTTACGTAATTTAACGATGTTAATATTGTAAGATAACCTTTTCGTAAATTTTACGATTTAAAAAAATAATATACCTATCGGTTAAACCTAACCTTACATTTTGATGTAAACTTCGACAGGACGAGTTTCGATAATAATAATGCGCGCCATCAGTGTCCGTAAATCTAGTGTTAAAGATAGTAACGGTCCCTCTAGAAATTTCTTGTAGTGTATTGGCCGCGAATATATCGCCTGTGCGCTCGGAACACGCAAATATTGTCGCAGTTCGCCACATCAAGGGTCTCCGTATCCGCTGACGTCACGTCGACCCCGACGACCTCACCGAACTTTGCGCCACATTAACATGCCGATTTACAAGCGTTTATGTACGTTCGATTTCCGCTCAGCGAAACATTCCGGATCGGAATGGCGGCGTCGCCTAAGAAACGTCGCTCGGCGACCGAACATCGTCGAATCGCATTCTGCGTCAAGCAGATCTGTTTCGAACGGTTCGATTTTAATTACGATGCACAGCTGTGCGACGGCAAACCGCAGAAATTGGACTCTATCGCGATAATTATCACAGGGTAATCGTCGTCAACAAGTGGTCTTAATTAAACGGATCGGAATACGATCTTTTATCTATGGATAAAAGTAGAATATTACAATGTTATCGACGATGTATTAACGATCGATCGCTTGTCGCTGATTTTGCCTACGATTGCAAAAAGATCTACGAAGTTGTCCAATCTATTTACACACGGTAGCCCACAAAAGTCTTCGTACACAAAAATGAAATTGATTTGACATTGAAAGTGAATCAGTAAAATTACGTACGCGTGATAGCGGCCGATCGTGGCTGGCTGGTGATCTCACGTACGTGTGACAGCGGCCGGTGATAGTTGGCTGGTAAAATCACGTACGCATGACAGCAGACGATGATTGTTAAGCTGGCAATCTCACGTACTTACGCAGGACAGTGGCCGATGAGTGGTCGTTAAAATGTTAAGGAGGGTTAGGTTTTTAGAGATTTGGGTACCAAACAGATATAAAATAAACAAAATATTGAATTAATTCTAATACGGACTATAAAGATACACTTACTGTTGCGGGCCACTGTGTATGGTCGATTGCTATCCTGTAACGTGGATAACTATCATCTTTCCAGATTCTTGCTTTATAACCTAAACGTATCGATAACTTTGCTACTTAAAATAATACCTCAAACATTAGGTATATTACAAAAAATTGTATAGGAATTACGATATAACTGTACTAAAAGACCAATACCATTTATGGCATTCTTACTAATCTTTTTCGTAGATAACGATTGCCTAGTGTTGCATTTCGTTATTAATGTAAATAAATGTCTACTAATGATCGTTTCAAATATAAATGATGAGTAAATACTTTGGTACACAAGTCTTTATTTTCAATGGAAACAGAGATGCATGAAATGCCTTTTAATTGATACGAAGTTTTTGTTAAATCATTTATAATATCCCTGCTATACTGGTGCTACACCCGTTCGGAAATTCAACGAAACTAAAAAATTCGTGTCGTGATCAACTGGTAAGTGCTCGGTCGATCATGTTTTACGTGTTGATTTCCGATACACGATTCCCTATAACGTGAACAAAATAATAACGGTAAACAGTTAGACCTATAAATGGACGTTTACGCGTGGTTTCGTACAGGTGTCTTAATGTGTTCTCGTGTAACATTGAAAGTACATTTAATTGTCCCTAATTTGGGCGAGAAATCAAATATTGTTTACGCTTCTGATTTGTGAAAATAATCGTATACAGTGAAAATCGTAACATTTGATCAGAATTGATAGTCTTCGATTCTTTTTACACGGACGGTTTTTATGTGCAACGCAAGATTCATTGAGTGTTTTGATTTTTACGCAGTTTTAAGTAATAACTTCTTAATGTAAGATAATCGTTTTTAGGATTAGTGGGAGGTATTTCGTCGTCAGAATTCGTATTCATTCCTACATCAATGTCTTCGTTGACCGGGTCGCTTAAGTTGTTATTAACATCGTACAATTTATTGTACTGTGCTATGTAACTAAATTTCTGTAATCTTTGTAAAATCGTCAATGTCAAAGCGTTCGAAGCTAATTTGTATGCTTTGTCCAAAGAGCTTTTATAATCGATTCCATTGACCTTCGTCTGCAATAAAAGTAATTATCTTTCATGCTGAAAATAATGAAGTTTTTTAAACAAACCAATACCTCTTTAATAAGTTTGCTATATTTATTTGATGCAAATGGTTTAATATTTCGTTTATGGACCCAAGCATTCTCGAACTGATCTTCGTTGAAAAACGTAACATAGTATCTAATCTAAAAATTTATATACGATTTATTATTTTACACAAGAGATAATTAAATGTAATTATGAACGCAATAATTCTTGTGAGGAGAAACATAATGCTTACAGGTTGCTGAGAATTTTTAATTAATTCATAATATCTGAAAGTTATAGGACAATCATTAACTATTCCAGGCCACCATGGGTAGCCACGTATGTAAGCCCACACGATGCTACCAGCATTGTAAGTGTTTTCAATTAAATCCGACTCTACAGCAGGCGATCTAGATACTTCCGGTATGTTACAAGATGCTATTGACTTATCTGTGAAATTAAACCATAGCATTAAGTATATGCATAAAAAATTGTGCAAAAAACATTTACCAACCAGAATTCATTTCACAGTACCATACTTTAGGTACATCCAATGGATCGTGATATTCTTCGACATATCTCCATTTCTTACACTTCTTTCTACAACACTGAATCCAGAGACCGATGTCTCTTCGAACCTGTAGCCAATACAATTTCTCTTTCCAGGTAAAATCATTGTTGCATTGAGACAATGTTTTTGTATTCTGATTAAATACTAATGAGCAAACAAAATTCCATTTCAGTTATAAAATACATCTAAAGTAAAACATCCGATACGTTTCTAAGTTTGCACAAACTTTACTTGATACAAATCTATTCCTTTGTAAAATAGCATTATATTATACAATCTTATTACAATCTTTTCCTTAAGGGTAACGTACTTATATTATTAAATTAACAGCTAACCGTACACTGTTATACACGAAAATGGGTTAATTTATCTTTGGCATCGGTATCTTTTGTTTTTAACGTGTGCGTGGATTTTTTATCATTCTGTGTACACCTACCTATAGACGATAATTGTGTTAAATTATTTTCGGTGTTCGGTCTGTTTTCAGACCTGTTCCCTATGATATTCCTATCGTTTTCTTTATCGTTAACGTGTATCTTAGTTTTGTCTACCCTGGTACGTAATTTACGTATTTGTTTTTGCGTGGTATTTTCTCCGTTACATTTCAACGTTTCTTTACAAAACAACGCGTTGCTCGATTGGCCAAACGAAACATGTATGCCGCTGTCCACGTAGTTGGAAGCTTCCAATTCTTCTTCGGTGTATTGCAACTTCCTCGGCTTCAAGTTTATCTTCTTTGACTGTTTTGTATTCTTAATCGGCGCCTTCGGCGTAGCGATCGATTGTTTTTCCACCGGTGGCGTAAAAAATGACGAGTCGTTCGGGTTTTCGTCGGACTGTTCTTTATTGAACAAATTGAACTAAAAATAGTAGGTACACAAATGTACATTTATTCCTAAGCTTTTAATAAATTAATTCAACTTACGCTTAAAAATTATTATTTCATTGTCTCATAATACCTGTGAGAACTTTGTGGATACGTTATGTAATTCCACTTGTCCGAATTCTGATTTCGTAAACAACATCGTAGGAGTTCGTTGACCTCCGATTTGTCCGTTGAAGTTCGATCGTTCGAACAGAAAATTTTTACGTTGCATGTTGCCTCAAGAGTACCGACTTTCCTCGATCGAAATTCGGACTGACGTTTGCACGAAGGGGGAAAATAACGAAAAGAAAATTACAGAAATAGGTAACGCTTAATTATTCTTTTACTATGTCACGACCTACGAACACTACGCGAAAACAGCGTAATTTTGACGCGAATAAAAGTCGCGACCGCGGGAAGAGTAAAATTATCCGAGTGAACAAGATACCCGCCGCGTCTGTAACGGGGTCCTCACTACGTTTCGCACGGCTTTCGTTGCAAAGCAACGCGAACCAATGAAAATTTGGATATTATAACAAATGACGAACGAATAAAGGGCGCTGTTTAGAAACGGATTTTAAATTTGCAACCAATGACCAACAATTTGTTCATACCTTTATTTTATGGAACAAGAAATGAAATGTAACGCTTGTTATTGTCCGTTTGAAATGTTGTAATTGTCGCCAAGGCTACGATTCGTCGATCTAATTTTCATTTTCGGAATTTTACTCCAATTTGTCGTTCGATTAAAATAATATTAGTAACAATGCAAAATCATTCTTTAAATTGTATTTGGGTCGTAAAGTAAAAGATACATTTTTTGCATATAACACGATCGCTAATTAGAAACAACTGCTTACATCATTTCTATTAACATGCGATGCGTACAAAGATACATACGTATATGCTTGAATAATGCAAATTACAAATCATGTATTATATAATTCAAGAACATCATCCCCGGTTTGTTGTCGAATGACATAATTGTATTTTGAAAACAAAGAAATCGTAAAATAATGTCTGAAATAATATTTCGAAAGTTTCGGCTTGATCTATCTACGAGAAAACTTGGAGCAGCTATAACACGGGCACCCTGTATACGTTTATATAGCTGATCAACCGAGAAACGTAATATATTTCTGTGTTGAGATTTTTGAATTTTAACTTACTCTTTTCTGAAGATTTTCACGATGTTTTAATAATTTCGTGTTCACGCGGTGCTCGAAAAATCGCTGTTGCTCGATTAAATTGTGTTTCGTTGCCGAAAATTGCCGAAGTCGCATTCGGCTCTCTCGGGTGTCCACATAGAAAATGGAGTTTGAGCGAGGCAAGCGAAGCAGCTATTCGCCATCGTTGATGGGCGCACAACGACGGTTCTGAGCTGGCTGCGCCGTGTATCTTGTAACAAACGCGTATTTTTGTGCTTAATGCGAGCGATAAGTACGCCGAGGTGAGATCAAAGTCGTCTACAAAACGTACGAGGGTAAGTTTGTTCATTTAGTGTCGCATTTAAGGGAAGAAATACGGAACGAAAAGTTTGGACATTGGCGACCATCCGTTTACAGAACGCATAAACCATAATCTGCGCATGCGTGACCGCGGGAACGATAAATTTACGTTGAACGCCGTGTTCGTGATCGTAAAAACTACGCGGGACAAACGATTGGTTTGCCAGTGAAAAATTACTCTTTTCAAAATGACGAAAACAACGCGGAAGAATATATATGCGTTGCATTTTTACGCGATAATGCAATCTCAACGCTCGCGAGCAATAAAACGAACTGATTTGAAAACGAAACGTAACGTACGTTCCAACATAATGTTTTGTACATAGTCTCTATAATAATGTTGAAGTTATGTCAACTCAAGATGTTGCTTTCAAACAGTTCGTTTGATGCCTAGAATATTTATGCATGACATTTTGTGAGTATAATTCAAACGTTTTATAATATATAGTGATTTAGTTTGAACGCTCACGTTCGTTTTTTCAAATCTTTTATTTATCATAGAACTTGTCTCTTTGGATTTAGATACTAATTATGTTTAATAGTTGGTTTTCCTCCTTTCTCAGATTCTACAAAATGTCGTCTGCACAAGTGGATCGTCCTACTAAGGTGGGCCATATCAATAAGAAAGAAAATGAGAAATCAAGGAAAACATTCAACCCTTCCCATAAGAAGCACAAGCACGAAGATAGCCGTCATTTTAAGTTTGGTCGCAAACGTCTACAGAGTTTCTCCAGCAATAGTAAATTCTTTCCTCCCTACAAGCGCAGAAAGAAGGAAGGTGCCATTATCCCACCGACAAAGTTTTTACTTGGTGGTAATATATGCGATCCATTGAATTTGAACAGCATGCAAGACGAAGAAATAAATAGAGCCATGAATGCTGTTACGCCTAAATCCAGTCCCCTTCCTACACCTAAGCACAAGAAAGAGGTTATTGAAGTCATTATACCACCAAATATTTGCGATCCTTTGAATTTAAACAACTGTAACGAGAACGACAACGACGAATACGAGAAGCAACTTATTTCCCCCACGAAGAAAGGTTCTAAACGTAGAAACAGAAAGAAAAAACGAGTGTCGTCAGGTTCTGGAAAAGACGATGGAAGTGATCCAGCTGAAACCAAAACTAAAGATTGCGTTGTAACTGTCGTTATGGAACCTATGGAACAGAGTAACCCAGAAAATGTAGAGACGGAACAACAATGCGTACCATTGAACTCACCACCAGTTACTCAACTTAAGGAACCCAAACCGGAAAGCCCACAAAAGGATAAAAATAAATTACGTTTGAAAGGTTTAGAAGAATCTAAGGATAAGAGGTTACGGAAAATTGATAACAAAGATAAAATTGTAAGCCCCGTCATTCCTCAACCTGGAGCTTGGAAGCCTAGGCCACAGCATCGGCCCAGTCAGGATAAGAAAAAAAAGCAAGCGATGCCGAATTTCAGAGAGAAAGATGCACGTTATCAATATGGCAACTACAATAGGTACTATGGGTATCGTAATTCTCAGCAAGAATTGGACACAAGACTGACAGTATTTGCGCAACGCAAAGAATTATTTATTAGAAAAGATGTACTTGACATTGGGTGCAATATCGGCCACATTACTCTGTCTGTTGCAAGAGACTTTTCTGCTGACAGTGTAACCGGTATCGACATTGATCGTTCGCTCATTCAGATTGCTCGAAAGAACGTGAGACGCTACGTTAACTGTGTACAGTCTCCTGCTGGTAACAGAGATAGCGATCACCAAGATGCAAGTTTCTTCCCAATATCTATGCCAATCAATTATGGACCGATTGATATACCAGGTTTGACAAAAAATAAAAATCATAAGGGTTTTCCCTACAACGTTACCTTTGTGCAGGTACAGTATCAAATTAATAATTACAATTTATGAAACATTCAGTGTCTGAATAATCTAAATGTTTTTATTTGCAGGGTAATTATGTGCTCGAGGACGATGCTCTTTTGTGTACGGAACAACCACAGTTTGACACGATTTTGTGTTTGTCGATCACCAAGTGGATACACTTAAATTTCGGAGACGCGGGTCTCAAACAGGCTTTCAAACGTATGTATGCGCAGCTACGTCCAGGCGGAGTCTTAGTATTGGAACCTCAGGGTTGGAGTAGTTATGCCAGAAAAAAGAATCTTACGGTAAGTATCGCACGTTCGTTAAAGCGCGTTTGCCGCATAAATCTGAAAATATATTAATTCGTATGTTGCGTTTCAGGAACGAATATATAAAAATTATAAGAGTATCGACTTTCGTCCGCACAACTTTACGCAGTATTTGTTGTCTACCGAAGTTGGTTTTTCCAAATGCGAAGTGCTCTCTATTCCTCCACACCCGTCGAAAGGCTTTCAACGACCGATTCACTTGTTTACCAAAGCTGGACCGTTGCAAGAAAGTGCGGGCAATTCTGGCGCGAGTACGTCAAATCGACAAGAGAGAACGGACGAAGTGAGGAGAAAAATAGAGCGCAGACAGTACGAGGACAAACTGTTCCAAAAGGATGAGAGCAAGGAAGGAAATTTGTCAGAGATCAGTCAGCAGAGCATTGAGAGCATGAGTCAATACGAGCAACTGGAGAACGTTTACGCACCTAGCACGACTCCGTGTTACGACACGCCTGGACACAACAACGATAATCAGCCGCTGGATGCGTCGAAAATGTGTTACGTGGATGTCAACATCGAGGTCGAGAAAATGGAATCAAAGAGTCTGGACGCCTCGGATAAACAGAGCAATCAACGAAGCAACGAGTCGACGTCGCGGAAACGAAGCATGGACACAGTGGCGGATGACGCATGCAATACAGATGCGAAAAGGGTGAAAAGATTGAACGAAATATCTGCATCGAAAACGGTCAGGAACGAGAAAGGAAGAACGGAGAAAGCCAAGACGAAGGAAACGCCTCGTGGTTCGATTTCTGTGAACGAAAGTGAAACAAGATTGGAGGAGGAGCAGCTAAGAAACGAGAAGGATTTGAGTAACGTCGTTGAAAAGAAGTCGAGTTCCGTAGACACCGCGAAGGACGAATCAAACTCGAGGACCGAGGCGCAGGGAGAACAGAAAAACAGATCGAGGAGTCCGTGCAAAACAGAGGAAACAGAGACGCAACGTTGCAAACTGACCTCGGACAACACGTAAACAGTTATTCTCGACGCTCTCTGCGTAGAAAACAAGCGGTGCTATCATACAGACTCGTGCTGTTTGGTTATCCAATTACTTGGCCAACCTTTTCTGTTCTTTCTTTTTATCTGCCCTTCCATTCGCTGATTTTCACGTAAACATCCCAAGAATCGATTGCTTTCTTTCCGTACGAGGGGCGAGGAGAGATCCATTCGCGACAAGAATCGTTTAGAAATCTCGGCAGTAGACGCGAATTATTGCGATAGAGGAACGTTGTAAGTGATTTTGGCGACGACGAGGACGATAGACGAACCAAGAGACTCGATAAGTTTTTCATCGTGTACACGAATGGACGAAAGAAATATTCTATTCGCGAGGTTTCCTCGCCTTTTTTTTTAGATTTCGATTACAGTTCCGCAGTTCCGTTTATTCGTTTCGTTTCTTTATTGTTTTCTTTTTTAAGGACTTTTAGTTACTCCCAGTTATGCTGAGTAAATGGATAGACGTCTCTTTAGAATACCTGGTGAGAGTTTCAGTGTATTTGTATTGGCACGTCTGAAATCGATCTCGGGTAAAAGGGAGACCGTAATCGGAATAAAATCAAGTGGTCTCCTGCCAGCGCTCGCTCTATGTCTCTCGAATGCAGTAGACGATGGGAACATTGAACAAAGTGGAAAGATGAAGCGGAGTGGGGGTTCGGAGGACATGGAGGTGTTCTCGATTGACCAATATATTCTGCCACGAGTTGCAGAGAAGATTGGAGAGGAGGGGGTATCTGTATGGAATTGGGGGGATGATCCTTGGATGACTTTGAGCGGCTGGTTGAGGTTAGTCCGACTACTTGTGTTACGTGTGATGCAACGTGATACTCCGTTGGAGATACGAATCGCTTTACATAAATGATAAAGTTTATTTTCGTTGTTTTTAGTACTCGATAAGAACTTTTAATGAGAATAATATTTTGCACGGCTGTAAGAATAAAATCTCACTACTTTATCGTGCTACGTTTCGATTATAGTAGTTGGTCCTTAAAATTAAATGTCGTTGGTGACTGGTACGAGTTAAACATAACGGAGGAATTAATAATAGAAACTTGCAATAATGATAGCCTAGCGACTTTTAATAAATGACATTTGTATCGTGGATCAAATCAACGCGTTTCGTGATGGACCTATTTTTTTGTGTCCTTCGGATCACGCCGCGTGGGTCGTATACGCCTCACGCATCGAGAGTAACAGTTTTAGTTATGCCATGTGACTTATGGTATTTATAAAACTGCAAAAATCATTATGAAGACACGGGTGTAACGTTCAAGATTCGCTATAGAATAAAGCAAAAATTTGAAAGTCGAGGAAAGAAGAATATTTTGATTTAATATAAATTACACTTTTTACTTCTAATATTTTAAGACGTAGTTAACATTTTTGTAAATTTGTATCGTACCGCCAATTATATCTTTAGTCTCAAGGTTTCCGCTTGAAAACGACTAACCGTCATAATTTAAACGTTGCACGTTAAACAAGCTTTGTTTTTGCAACCATAGAAAATATTATTTTTATACGAATCGTTTTATACAGCACGAATATGGCGTCGGCAAGTATTCATAGCGCTGCGGTGAAACGAAGGGCATGAGCGAAACAAATTCTAAGTACCGTGCCTAATCGAAAACATTTTGCATTTTATGCTGCAGCACGCCCATGCCCCCGTCCCCCCTATCCGAGTATATTTAACGAGTTAGTCGACGAAAGACTGACTTCGTTTTTGGCTTCACCGTGTCTTTCGATGTAAAAAGGAAAAAAAAAACGATGAAAAGAAGAGGAGCAAGGGGCGCGCGAGAAACGACGCCAACAGAGCGAAGACGAACAATTCAGGTTGTGCTTCGGAAAACTCGAAAACTGATTTGTGCTCGCGGTCGTGTAATCGTTGCCATACTCGTCTTTTCTGTACAGAAGAAGCGCAGCGAGAGACGGCCAGCACTCGACAGTTCATTTCGTGACTCATTCTGTGTTGGATGTAGAAAGAAAACGGAAACGAAATAGAAACGCAGCAATGCCTTAAACGATGCGCCGTCGCGTTGAAAGTCGACGATGAACACCTTTCAAGGCTCGACTCCGACTGTGTTCAGGAATCAGCGGTTGTTTTTGTTTTTTTTTGTCGGGGAAACACGCCGTGAGTGCAGCTTATTTTGCAGTGATCCGGAAACAATTAGGTACGCGAACGGGAATCACGTTTTTACGGTTAATGAAATTTGTACATTTTTATAGTTTTCGTTACGTTTTCGGGATAGCGTTACTGGAGATATTTTCACGAATTAAGATCGATTTATATTTTATCAGTTCAGGCATGTTTCGTATTCGACGAATACAGTCGATGGAAACAAGACCCGATTGTTTTCGTTGGAAACGAAGCGTGCCCGAACGGACAATATACGTTGACCTTTAGGGGGCTTCGCTATCATCTTACAAGGCATTGTTTTACTCCCTCGAATTCCCCGAACGAGACACAAGGATGCCCGAACGTTGTCTTTTTTTTTTCTTTCTATTCGTTCGTTCGATGACGCGGAGCAAAGAGAGCGGGAGAAAATGCGAGAATGAGAGCGAAAGAGTATTGTATAGAAAGGCGAACTAATCGGTCGGAGACGTTAGACTGTAGACCTGTAAATTTCTGTAATTTTAGACGACCCGAGCGTATTGTTTCATATAGTTGTTATTTATTTATAGAGAGATTGAGTGAGAAACGGAAATCGTGAAAAGCCGAGATCCCAGAGTTGGTTTGCGACGAAACAACCCGGACGAGATGTCAGACTTGCCCGAAAGTATTATTGTATCGTGGAACATTACTCGTTGCGCAGTTGTGGCTCGTGCGTACGAGGACCGAGAGCATCTTTGACGATAGATTTACGGAAACGATCGCACATATTTCTTATTCAAACGTCGACGGTTCCTTTAATTATTATATTATATTGATTCAGTGTTTTTACATTTTCGTATCGATTTTAATACGGTCCTTAATTCTTCTGAATCCGTATTCTTTTAAAGTGGAACATATTTTCATATCGTTGCATCGATTAAATACAACAAGAATTACTAACGAATAATATTTGTAGGTTCTTCTGCGACTTTAAATATGGAATGTGAGATCCGTAAATCTAGCGTTGAACGATTGTGCGAAAAGTTCCTCGGAGAGTGACGATAACGAAAGAATAGAGAGGAGGGAAAGAAAATGGCGTAAGCTTCTGGAAAGCGCGCGTACAGACGGCTTTCCTCATCGTATTATCTAGTCTGTGTGCATCACGGAGAAAGAATGGAATGATCATGGCGACGGTCGCGCTCGTTTGCTCGACCGAGCATGGGGAATTTTTTTTCTCGATTCAGAATTCTACCTTACTCCCGGGAAACGTTTCCGTTTTAGCGTGTATCGTGCGTAATTTTTTGCGTTTACAGCGAGTCCTCCGTTCACGCGATTCGTTTTTGGAGATTTTTGCGCAAATTGTACAGGATGGTGTAAAAATCGCGACCGGTTTTACTTATTGATGAAAATTCATAGTAAATTTGACCGCTCTCTTTCGAGTAAATAATTTTCGAAATAAAATTCAATAATTTTACTGTATAAATTTTTCGCGATTACAAATATTTCCAACCTTTTCGCACCACTCTGTACGAATACGATATATTGCTGAGAGAAAGAAAGATCAAACTCAGGTTAACGCATTGAATATCCGTACCTAGAATCATGAATGCAACTCAAATAATAGCAATAAATATTCTACCGTCTTTTTTAAGTACTATACATAATCTTGTGATGTAGTTACATATTTTAGATTTAACAAATCTTTCAGATTACGGGTACGTGCGATATTCGTTCTGTATTCAGACAATCTAATGTTTTCGGTTCTCATGCACTGTTTTTACGTTTGATCCGATACTATAACAATTGCTACCAACATTGATCTTTCTTTCCCTTTACAGCAATTTTACTGATCTCTGTAAAAGTAAATTATTGTTAAACAGATTTACGTGTACTCCCATATAAAAAGACAAATTACAAACGGTATTCAATATGTAAATACATATAAAATATGTACAAGTACATAAATGGGAATGTAATTAAGTAACTCGAGGACTCGCTATACTTCTTTGTACGCCTTTGTTATTATGCTGCGACAAAATTAGCGGACTATCGGTTTACGACGCGATTAGGCGCGCCAGAAGTCGACTAAGAATCGAAGAAAACATGATAAGAGACCCTGTTTGGCCGCGATACTCGAGTTAGTGTTCTTTTTCAACGGCCACCGACGCGGCACAATAACGTTTAAAAGACTGTTTCAGTATTCGTGGCTTTTCTTTGTCATCTGAGCCCGTTTCTTCGTTTGGATCGTCGCGCACGGCAAACGTCGAACCGAAAATACGACCCGACGCGTTTCGAGGAAAGAGAATTAGGTTTTAAAGGTTTCAGAGCGACGACGGAATAGCACAAATCGACTCCGGGCGCGATCACTTTTTCACGTTGTGTTTTTGAGAGAACGAGAACAAGATGAACCACTTAGACGCTTACCAGGAACACTCATAGTGTAAAAATCAGATTAATAATAAAGAATTGCTTTGAGTCACCAATTTGTGTTTTGCATTTATCAGGCTGCCTACGCGTCGCGAACCCATGGAAACAATTATGCGTATGTAGATGAATTGCGTGGACTTGTAAAAATAACAAGGTACGTAAATACGAATCATATTTGAAATTAGAGAAACGACACATTAATGGTATATTTTTTTTTGTTAACGTTTCATCTTCTATGTATTTTTCTGCTTTAATTACAGACTTCCCGAAAAGAATATTATCTGAAAATATCATAAGGAAAACGATGGAATATCAATTTGAATTTTTTTAAATGAAATTATAAATGCAAATTGCTCGTAAACTATCCACTGTATAGAAAAATTATTCAAATTAATTAACAATAATTTGACGTGATTGGTTTCCCTGTAGGTGGACGCGTAGCGGTTGTACGACGGTGATATACGTTTTTGTATTGTAAAATAGAATCGCGTAACTTTGGAAGCATTAATGGATGCCGATGGATGTTTATTTTTAAGTTACAGCCATTTTTATATTTCCGGAACATACAACTGCCCACTTACACCGGGTGTATCCTAATATGTGCGACCCACTTTGGCTTAAGGATACAAAAACAATGGGAAAACTTGATACGAACGTGTTCTCTGCTTGACCTCGTTCCCAAGTTATGACCATTTTTGTACCATCGTATTGTGAGATGGTTTACCTTTATAGGAGGTGCTAGAAATGGTCATCTTCGACTCGAATGTAATCCTGCGGTCGTTGTGAAACAGAGTTTCCTAATCTTGCAAATATTTCAAGCAACACAACTTGTAGATCTTGTTGCAGACCGTATGCCCGAGCGAAGCAAATTTTATTCGTTAGTAACGAATCGTTACATACACGAATGCATGTAATATCCGTTGACGCTAAAAATATTCTTGCATGAACGATTTTGTTTACGCAAAAGAATTTGTTAAGAAATTTATGTTTTCGTAGTGGGCGCTTGAGTCGACGATATTAATAGTTTCGGTAGAAAGAGCAATATTACTGTGTTTTGTCCTAGATTTGCTAGTCGGGCTCATCAATAACATCTAGCGTATCCTGTCTTAGACGTGACGCTATTATGCTATTTCTATTCATGCAGTTCGTTGTATTGCAAATCCTCGATCGCACGAACGCCAAGCGTTAACGCTTTAGAACTTTTTCAAAATAGTTAAATCAACCGTGAAATCTAGAGATACACCGCGAACTATCTGGTACCACAAATGCTATAATAGAAGCTGGGTAGCAAGCAATAAAATTTGAATGCGACTACGAGATTGACTTTGACTTTTATGGAGGAAAGTTTGGTGACAGAGATCGAACTATCGTGTATCTAATGTGCAGTATTTATTATAGTAAGATAGCTTCTCTACACTGTTACGACATCGCGCTAAAGATTACGGGAGGGGGGGATCGTTTGATTCCATTTCGTATTTTTTTTTTTTTTTTCAGAGCGCATCGAAGACCAAAATTCAGTCCTGCTCGCTATCGTGACGCGTCGACGTTTCACGATCTATTACAGAATACAATTAATCCATTTGCATCAACGATACACGTCTACGATATTTGTACATTACCAAGCGACCAAAAAGTTTCCTCTACGATTCCTCGAAAAAGATAATACTCTGTACACCTCCAGGGGCAACAAGAGCTAAATAGAAGTTGGGGCGATGCGAATGACTTAATAACAAATTATTCGCGCACTGACGTATAAACGCGCGGGCGCTAATGGGGCCGTGTGTCAACGGTCGAGATCTGGTATCAATTATTGATAAATATATCGTATCGGTCGTTTTTCTTTTACAAACTTACAGCGTAGAACGTAAAAAAGGGTTCTAGCGCGCGTGTCGACAAAGTTCGAAGTACAGTGGCTCGCGAAAGTATACGAACGCTCGCTGTCGACGCTTTAAATATAACAAATACGTGCATATAGTTGTCGTTTAAAGTTTTAATAGCGAGCGTTTGGATATTTCGGTGGAAAATCAATTGGCCTGCGACGGTCACCGACAAACATTTACGCATTCCCCGTCTCTAGCGTGACGTCAAAGCGGGGATAACCTCTCTTTTTATCGGACCTTCGAACACGCGTTTGAGTTCGGCGACAACAGCAGGAGTGGAGGAGGAAGGAGAGTGACCTTGACCAGCCAATTGATTTCGCGCCGAATCGCGCGACGTAGCTCGCAGGTGAGGTTAGTTCTAGAAACCGCGCGGATCGGATTCGTAGCAAATTTCATTCGCGAGTAAAAATGTTACGAGCTCGAATATTGGTTTAAAGAATTCGTCGATACGTTCTGGTCTGCAAATGAATTTGTTCAACTTCGAAAGCTAGTTTACGAACGATTTGAAAGAGAATTTTTTTTTTTATCAGTTTACAGCGAATAAAATTTGCCCCGATGCGGGCCGCGCGATTGAAATTTCGAACTCGACGCCTTGGCAGTGACGATCCCGTGCTTTACGGCGGCTAACAACGGACGAATCGTGTCATCGTTTGCATCTACGACTATGTATATATTTATTCATTTCATATAATAATATAATCGCGTAAACTCTGTATACTCTATATACTTCCGTTTGTTTTTTTTTTCCTCTAGAAACGGATGTGTGAACGAGGGAGGACCGACGGAGAGGCGCGTTGACCCGCAACAGCATATTCTCTAAAATCTTCGAAACGACGAAGAGCGAACAATTATGGATCGTCGCACGGTGGTCCGAATCGAGTCTCTCGAAAATCAAATTTCTCGTATCGATACTCGTTGAACTTGTATTTATAAATATCCATCGATCTTGGCGATTAAAAAATTAAGGAAATTGTATATTTTTGCAGTGGAGAAGAATGTCGCCAAAAAGTTCGATCCGGTCCACTCTGCGTCGTGTCCCGATACGGGGAAGAAAAAGGGGGTGCGAATTATTTTTTTGTTTTAATTTTTTTTGATTTTCTTTTTAAGTATTTGTTACCTCCCGGGGTTGGTTCGCATCTATTTTCGTCGCTTAAGATCTACCAAGGGGCGCCAGCGCCCCGATCGCACGCTCCTGAACGTGCACGTTGTTTTATTTTTCTCTTTATTACTACGGACACGCGTCGTTCGCGCGTGTGGCTATTTCGTACTGTTTGTTGTACGTACTGCAACATTGTGGCCCCGATAACGTGTTATCGTTAGCGGGTTCGTTATCTCCCGAACGCGTGCGCCAGAGAAATGGCAGCGCAACAAAACGGTTTGGAAGATGGAGAAAGTGAAAATGGATCCTCCGCCTGCTCGGTTTATTTTTCTCGCCGATCGAATCTTCGGCCCCCGAACCGTTATCGAAGATTTGTTTAACGCATTAACTTATTAGCGACTGGAAACGAGATTTCTCTTATATCCAAACAAAAAAGAATTTCTGTTTTGATCAAGTATTTTGGAATTTTGAGAAAATTGATTTCTTTTTTTATTCTATTTTTTGAGAGTCTTGAAAAATATTTGTAATCTTTTACATCTACTCACTGCGAGTCGCAGCGTTAATAAAATTCTCATTAGCAGATCTTATCTTGCCCAGGTGAAAACAGTATATGTAATTACTTTATCGGTCCGGATCATCGTATCGCTTTCACGGTCTCGGGGGACGAATACAGTGGGGTATTTGTACCGGAAGAAAGTCGTTTTTTGTACCCTCGTAAATTTAACAAAGTTAATCAGTTAAATTGAACAAAGCTTTTCGAATCGTGTTTATTTTCTATTTTACTAATTTAACAAAATTAGATACAAATGTATTAATTCCAGGAATTTTTTTATTAGGATGCAAATACCCCACCAATGGCGGATTAACACCGTGCGAAATCGACTCGAAAACTTCAAAAACGTCCTGTCTTCGGAACGATACACCGGCACGTGGCGCGGTGCTACAACAACGAGCGCCAAACAGTTCCCAAAGCGCTTCTAAATTGGTTTCTAGTACCGACTATGGTACGTTGTTGAAAACCCCCATCGGGAATCTCAGGATTATTAAAATGTTTCACCGGAACGTCGTTCAACGATTAGATAAACGTTCGTTCGATCGGTGTAGGTATTAAAAACTCGCGACTGAATGTCGTCGCGAGGGGACGGATTGAAGGTTCCGGAATCAGACCTTCGAAAGTATGGAAAAGTGTCTGAACGGTCGAGGAGTATAGATTACTTCCGTTTATTCGTCGACCAATTCCCAAAGCATCAGCGCAGCGTCGGTTCCACCGACGGTGACCACGTTCTGATCGTTGTAAAGGAATCTGGCGCAAGCCACCAACGAGCTGTACACCTTCTCCTCGACGTACTCGGCCTTCGCGCTGGTACACGGGTACCTGAACAGCCTCAGGTAGCCCTCCGCGTCACCGCTGACCAACATGTCGTGCGCCGCCGATCTGCTCGACGTCGTTAGAACCGTCGTCAGCGGGTAGTAACGATTATTCCACATACCTGGGAACAAAGAGGTTGTTGACAATGTATCCATTGTTTTCTGTGTCCCGCAAGGCCTTGAAATCTCGTGCAAGAAAGAAACTGAGATGAAAATTGAATCGAAAGTGTTTCTATGCTTGAACGTGCTCCTTGAAAGAGTGCAATTGCATCCTGAATTTGTCTGTACAGCTGTGGCGTCACCTCCCGTACTCGCCACCAGAGGGCTACGCTCTTGTCTCTCTCGCAAGTGCATGAGTAACTCTTCCGTTCCTATAACATATACGCTTCTCGATCGACTACACACTACTCCGTCGTCTAAGGCAGGGCCTACTAGGAAGCCTTACTTATTGACGAGCCCACTAGCAGACCCGTGACGAAACTTCCCCCACTAGTAAAGCGCGCCACACAACGATTAACAAGGAAGATTTAATTGTAACTAAAGTCTGTACTCACCAGAGACCATGTAGCCAACCATACAATTGTGAGTGTACCATTTCACGTCCTTCATCACCAACGGACTCTTCTCCGACGACAAGGCCTTCACGTCCCCTGTGAAGGATGATACTGTTATGTTTACCGTACAATTAAAGGGAGCAGTTGCATCGTAAAAGCTGAGAAAGTTACAGAAAACTAGGTCGTAATCCTGAGTGACGGTCTGAAGGAATCTGCTGTCCGAGCTCCAGTCGAGTTGCACCAATGGCTGTGTTCCGCGTATCTTGTTGCTCTTCTTGTACGAGAATCCGTCTCTGGACACTCTGAAAAGGTACACGCTACCGTTCTGCGAGCCCATCGCTACTATTTCTCCGGCTGTTCAACAGACAAAAAACAGAAAATGAGATATCGCCGACCAAACATTGTCCTCTTATGTACATATTTACAGTGTTTTATTGAACTTAAGATTACTAAGAAGTTTTGCTGAGTCCTTGTTAATGGTTTCTTACTGGGATTGTAGCCGATGCACGATAACGGCGATCCACAAACTCTGAGGGTTGCTACGGCGGTGCCGGTGTCCGCCGCGAGAACAAGGAGATGACCCTCCGAGGATCCAGCAGCAAGAGCCACTCCGAATGGATGGAACGCTATGCAGATGCACTCGAAACCCACCTGGAGAACCAGAATATCCAATTGGAATAATGATTCAAAGGACAGTTTTAAAAAATCTATTAAAAATCGACTGGTATATGGTATAAATCTAAAAGGACTTCTAAGGGTAACGAGTTTCGCACCTGCGTCGTCCACAAAAGTTTGTGTCTTCGCCATAGGGCAATGTTCTTGTCATGACCCGCCGTGGCAAAGACTTCGTCGTCAGGGTGGACCGCCAGTCCCCACAACTGCCTACCATGACCAAACACGACTTGATTGAATCTTCTCTGAAGCGATCCTTCCAATATATTGTTCCTCGTGGTGCCAACATATATGTTCCCATCGTTTCTTCCGGGCCGCTGGGGATAAATGCTACGGACTCCTCCCACTGCTTCCGGTAGCTGGAAGACCAGAGAAGAAACTTGAGAAAATATCTCAAGGACACTTGTATTATTTGAATAAGAATTTTTTCCATTTCTAGCGGCAAAATGGCGGCGATGCCCACCTTTGTGTCGGTGATGCGTTTGTAATTTTGCAGAGAGTCCCACGCGGCGATTTTGCGATCTTTTTCTCCGCCAGAGAGTAATGTACCCTCCGATAGCATAACCAGCGAACTGATGCCCTTGTTGTGCGCCTCGAACTCCATTCGAACGAAATAGGCTCCGTCCGCGTCTACGGAGTAAACGGTGATGAAACCGTCGCTGTCCGCGGTCACGACGTCGCCATCTTGCTCGAACTGAATGCTCGTTACGTGGGTGCGCGATGGCTTTGACAGAAAAGAATCATATTTAATTGAAAATATTCGCCTTTTTAATTACTCTGTAATTTATTTGATGGTTTATCGGTATCCTTTATGATAGATAATAGAAATAGAAAATTGTAGCATATCCTAATCGACTGGCCATACTGAACTGATACTCCTTTGGTGCTTACAGGCTTAATGATGTCCGTTCGTTCGAAGAAACCGTCCTTTCGCCGGTTCCAGAAAGTCAGGTGTCCTCGACCATGCGTTATTAAAAGATTATCGTCGAGGGGGTGGAACGCAGCACCGGTCAAGTCTTCTTGCATAGTCTGTCATAGAAAAAATAGTATACTTTAGAATCGTTTCGATTCTTTAGTGGAAAATTTTTAGAATTGTTTTCTTATGCATTTTAAAAAATTCTGTCCATCTTTGATGTAGGTATAAAATTTACCGCCACTTTGCCCAGCAAATGGCCCCACTGCCACTGCCACACGGAGAGTATCGCTTCCCTTCCAGCGTCGACAGCCAACACGTAGCTACCCCCGTTCTGTACGCAAGAACAAACAAAAGTTACACGCTTTCGGTTTTGTACAGTGTCTTAAAACGCACGTCCGATCCTATTACCCAACTCTTGATTCTCTTGTGTCTTTAAAACACTGATACTTGTAAAAATGATTCAAGTACAGAAGTTAACAGTATATCCCCTTTCTCTAGGGACGTCATTTAGATATAACGGTAGAACTGTTCTTGTTTTTTAATGGATGATGTTGCAAATTAAATATTGCAAATTACATTTTTTAGAGGAACGTCTATACTTTTCAGTTTATAAATAATATTATGTCGTAATAGTCAATTACACGATATTTTTTCAACGATTGCTTTTAGGTCGAATAGCAGTCTGAATGCGATTCAAAAAGAATGTCTCACCAGCTGCGAGAACGCCAACGCTGAGACGCCCATCTGGAACTCAGTCATCCCGAACACGTAAAGTGTGAGAAGAGTCTCTGTCGACCATATGCGAACGTGCGGTTGCGCCTTTCTGTGTCTGCCAGCTTTTTGCCCGGACGCGACCAGCTCTCTGCTCGGGTGAACCTGTGGACGAACACATTGAACAATTCAACTTACTTTCGAACCGTCTTGCACGAGAAATATGTAGGCTATAAAGCAGCAGCGTTTCAACGACGCCCCATAAAAAAACAAACTCAACATATCATAGTGACTAGACTGGGGATATTTATGTAAATTCATATTTTTATTAGCAGAATTAATGAAATGGAAGCTTTGTAGAGGGTTATTTTACGTAAACATCCGGGGTTTAGTAATAACCATACGGTTCCCCCGATATTTTTTATCAAGCCACTACGAAGGCTAGTAATTTAGAGTATCTGTGAAAAGGCGACATCACCTCCATGCACGTGATGTCCTCCGTGTGGCCCACGTAATGCCGTTGTGCATTTTCCTCTCTGTCGAAGAGAACAGCCACGGCAGCGACGTAGTAGAGCAGCTCGCCGCTGGGCAGAACCCAGAGGTTTCTGCGGGTATCGGTGCCCCGATATCCGTAAACCCACTCGAGTTGTAGCTTCTTCTCCGGCGGTGAGTTGTCCACCGGCGGCAGGTGCGAGGGCGGGTAAAACGAACGTCTGAGACCCCGGATCGTCACCCTGGCCGGTTCGTCGCGCAGCACCTCGACCACGCTGTAATCTGCACCGTGTCACACAAACTCTGATTAGGATTTTAATTCGCGGATAGGATAGATAGATAATGGACGATCAGTGAAATGGTATGGAGAACCGTTTACTCGGACGACGTCAGAATCGGGGGCGTAGAGGGCTCGAGGTCTACTCTTGCTGCGAGCCCGTCTTTGACGACCGATGTCCTCGACCACGGTGGGCGGACCTCTCGACCTGGATCTCCTCGCCGGGGACTCTGTCACCGCGCCCACGATCCCGATACCGGATCCGGTGCCCAAGTAAAAGGTGTCCACGTCCGCGAATTCGTTCCTCAGTTGCGAGAAACTCCTCACCTATCGACCAAATCAACGCAGATATTGTATAGAATCAAAGGTGAAGGGGCTAACAAAGTCTATTACTTTCTCAATAATCCCAATACTGATCCTAATAATGAATTGAAGACAGAATTCAAGAAAGAATCAACAGGCGCGACTGTAAATACAATGTACACATAATATACTGTGCAAGTAACATCGAAGACCAAGATCCTGGAAGACTGGTATGATTTTAACGAGAGGTCTCATAGCTAAAATGAATGAACCAGAGTTTAGAAGGTACTTCAACTTTAATATTTTAAAACAGTAGTATAAGGAAACATCTCTTCCCCAAAATTGATTCTGTTTTGTAGGAAGGTGGACTATTTTGGCGACTACATGTTATGCTTGGCATTTCCAAGGAAAATGGAATGGTACGATATATGACAGGCGTGAAAATGAATGAACCGGGACATTTTGTCGTGCAGGGATCGTATCTCGAACGTCACCGTTGACGTAGACAGCCCACGGAGGCGTACCGATGATGTACAAGGCAGCCGAATGCTCGGCGAAGAAAATTGGCCAATTTGAAATTCATATACGATCGTGACCTGAAAAGATGGATCTCTGACCTTTTTCCCGCGGGCCTCCGACCCACTTGCAGAGCCCACGCTCCCCACCACCCGCTCCCGGTTGGATATAGAATCGTGCAATCGGCTCTGACGTTGGAAATTTGAATCGGAAGGGTTACCGAGTGACCATCGTTATATGCAACGACGACCATCGAAAAGAACGGGAAAAGTAATAAAATTGTTCCCTACACTTTTTTATGAAATCATCACTTAATGGCTAATTGTATCTGTGAAAACGTATTTTATATATTAGGAGGGTTGGGTAAATATTCCTTTGAAATACTATTTCTTAATATAACTACATTTTCATAGCCCACATTTTTGCACTGAAAAATTTCAATAACGAGTTTCCAATACCACTGGACTTCACATTTTTCTGGCAATTTCACAGCAGAGTTTACTTTTTTTTTAGGTTTTACTATTGGAAGGTATAGTAACACGAGACGATTCATGGGAGATTTAAGCAGCGACCCTATTCCATTTAGAGTCAAGAAGTCGACCCCGATATCGTCACGCTTCGTTTCGACGCTTCTACTCCTCCTCCGCTCCCTCTCCCCCACCGTTGCATGCATATTTATGGACAAACATTATTCAAGCAGATTTTATAAGTACGATGCCGAGCCAATGTCTTCGATTTGCATAAATCGCTGATAAACTTTTGAGTCGCCCACGTTTCGAGTTGTTCGCGAACGCTGGACGTATCGATCACCGTGCGCCGCCGTTTTCTTTGAACGATTTCGACGACTTGTCCTCGACTCTTTGCAAAACTATCTTTGTCTATCGCGTTGCAGAATTCGAGGTTTGATACTGGTTGGTTTTCTCGAGACTGTAAGCCAGCTCCAGAGTTGGCTGAAACGCTATTTTAATTAGCAAATAGCGAACAAATATTTTATTTCAATATCCAAGCTTCTGTTTAACGATTATATCAATGATACATTTATTGTACAGACATACAGGAAGAAACGGGATTCTTCAAAGCTCCTAGGATAGATATGCCATTGAAGATATCGAATATCAAAGTTTGAGTATCAAATGTGATTTTTCCGCTAATTTATTTCAATTTTCAGATGTGTATTAAATCTTTGGAATCTGGTTCGAGCGAGTTAGAACTGAGTTTACCTCTTGACCGGAAACTGTGAACATCCTCTTGGCCCCATTCATCTTCAGCACTTGTCCAAGGTCTTCCAACACCTCCTCGAATGGCTGGGAGGTGCGGAGGTTCAACAAGACTCGACACTGAAAATTTAAACGCAAATTTTTAGACTCGTCGCCGATCAACATTATCTTATTTTATTATTATTCTTGAGATGTCCTTCGATTGTTTCAAACGATTAGTATTTTCTATAATAAAGTCAGTCCTTTTTCGGTACTGATTTGTTCCAGAATGGTAGACGTGAGTCATGATACCGTATAGTAAATCTGTAATTGTCGACGACTTTACATGATAGTCTTCTAGTTACCTGCACTGTGTGATCGTGGTTGTTGACGATCCGTATAACGCGTCCCGAGGAAGGCTTTCCGCCTCCAGGAGGTGGTGCTTCGTCGGTGATGGAAGCTTTCCTGCTGAGACTCGCCACCGCTGGTGGTCTGCTTTGCCAACCTCCGACGCCACCTCCGGCACCTCCTCCACCTCTGCTGCCTCCTCCAGTGGGGCTCGTGTACCAAGTGTTGCTCTTCTTTCCATAGCTGGCCGGCTGTTCGTTCAAATACCCAAAATTTGATTATGCTCCACTACTAAACACATTGCCATTCAAAACATTTCAAAGCAGTCGCGTTGATCTTAACAAAACACAATATTCCTTAGTCGATGGATTAAAATCAACCCCCTGTATTAACCCTTATTGGGGCCTCTGCAAGTTTAAACTAATAATTGTTTAATATACATATATCAGTGTAATTATTTGAAAATATATGTAATCTGCCGTTAGTTCATTATTTTTTAAATGCTTTAATGAGAAGTTGATTTCCATTTACCAATTTGGTAAGAATTAGCATTAAGTAAAATAATTCAATTGAGATTGAGAGTTCACTGAAGGTTTGACACTAGAACTACCGACAATTTAGTGTATTTACATTATCCAATGGAAATAAGTGTTTATTCATTCTCTTACAGAAATTTGCTAAATTTTGAAAAATCAAGTCGGGTAAATTTCTTACAAGTTCTATTAGAAATTACGAATTGGTCATTTTGACTGCTTTGGTAGTGTTAATTTAAATTAAGCAATCGTGCCACTATACACCGAGTAAAACTTTATTACATAAAATCCATTTTTCATTTACAGGTTTTACGAATCAGAGATCCCATTATCTAATCACCAGAAATCTTATGCGTCCCCTCAGAGGGCCTTCACTGAAGAGCACGGGTATAATTTATGTACACTAAAGCGATACTATTATTTGTTGTAAGTGAAAAGGTCGGAAATAATTGTACACGATTCGCAGATTCGTCGGACCTGCAGCATGTCGGCCGGCAGCGATATAACTTCGAATGAGTCGCTCATCAACACGACGAAGCTGTCGCAGACCTCCCGGGTCTCGGTGCCACAGGATTCGAGCTCGGAGTCGCTGAACGTGTCCGCGTTCTCGCAGCCGGCGCCAAAGTCCGGCTCCAGGTCCGAGCGGGACGAGGAACTTGCCGACTCAATGATGGACCGCGGAACACTTTTAGCCGACCGTAATTCGTTTAGCTCGTTATTCGTATACGAACGACGAGACCTCGTTCGCGTACGCGAGTCTCACATCGTGCGCTCCTGTGTGCTCTCCCTCATCGACGAACACGCTTGTAAACTGTAATCCTTGGAAGACGTGTGAGCGCGCGTGATCCGCGTGGAAAATGAAAATCGCGGTGGAGGGTTGATTAAGACCTTGATTTGGAGACGGAGGGAAGCGCGAAACGTGGTCGTCGAGGGAAGAGGATCGCAAGGGAGATGGCTGTGACCGCAAGGTGCAGCTCCGACTGTGCTCGATGGACAACTAGAGGCGGGGTGTGGGCCATTGGGGCTGGAGAACCAGCCCCCCGAGCTGCAACATCCCCTGACCCGCCCCTCCGCTTCGCCGTGGAGAGCCATCGTGTCTCAAGGCCAAACACCCTCCCCCCTTCTTCGCCAGTCCGGGACGAACCGCGAGACACCGAGCAATTGCACTCCGAAATTTGAGTTGTCCGTTCGTACCAATATTAAAATATTGATAGAGTATAATGCTACGTGTTCCAAGATATTGTAAAAGCACAATTTTTTATCCTGCAACTGATGGGAAAGTCATGAGAAAAGTAGACGAAACGAGTTCCGCACAGGTTGAGATATTTAAAATTATTTTATTGCCGGTGGCACCTTAAATATGTTATAACATAAAGCCTCTTGAAGTTGGCGGGCAATGGGTTAAAGTGCATAATGATTTCAAAAAGTGAGAGCTATGTAGAATCGAATGCATGATAATGTGGCTTATTTTGAATGTTATAGCACTTACTTTGCATCACAATGCAAATAGTATTCACGTCGTGTTAAGGGTGTATTCTCCTCTGCAGACGTCGCTTTTGATCAGGGTTTAGGATAAAAAATCAGTTTCCAATACCTTAATGTATTTGATACTTTTCGTATTGAAATATGTTGATTCACTTAGTATATGGGACACGCCCATTTGAGTGCATGTTTATATTGCGTAAAGTCAGAGCAATGGGATTAATTCACTTTAGATCTTAGAGAACTATCAATGAATTAATTTAAAACGCTTGATTCTATCATCTCAATATTGTATGTTTGCTGTAGTGTATGATTTTAAATTGAGAATACTCCCTTAAGGGAGGAACAAACACAAGCACCAAAGATATTTTTTTCTGCTCGAGTTTCGTTTCTCTGGCTCTTGTTAGTCGCAGAGAAAACAAAATTATGTAGTTTCCTCGGTTTTCCAACGTGCCCCGTGTTTCTGAATATGACGTTCTGTCTCTCGCGTGTCCTAAACAGCGTTTCATGACCGACTTATCGTACACCCCCTCACCCCATTTTCGCGTTGACCTTACATATAAGATTTCCTGTATGTAATAAGCTTCCAGCTGATTCTACATTGTGGATAAATTTAGTTCAAATCACAGGGTTGGACGGCTCGATCCTGCGATTTCGGCTGAACTTTCACAGGCGAACTACGTACGTGGATATCCAAAAATAACCCGTTTATGATTAACTAAAACCCAGCTTTCGTCCCACCTTAGATTTCTAGCAGTTTTAGAATATTCTCCTATAGGACTACCGAGATTAAGTATCTAATCTTTTAAATATCATTCTAAATGGTATCAAATGGTACGAAGGGAAGGGGGAATGGGTATCAAACATACAATTTGAATCTCGAGAATTAAATAATTTCCAAAAATATTTATAAAGAAAAGTTGGGAATTATAATACATTCGAGAAGAACGCGTTAAAAGTTTCTTTAGTTAATTACATTTTTTTATACACATTGTACGAATCGTACCCTCGGAGAGAATATAAAAAAGAAATCGAGTTTTTAAAAGGTTCACGGTAGAATATCTCCTTAAAGTGTTTGGTTCACGTGTCTGGCCATTACTAGTTATTTCTACTTGAGTTCTTATACGAACACATTAATCGTTTAACTATTATAATTCAGACTACGAGTTGGAATAGCGCCTCTTAATCTTTCCTCGCTCGCGACCCCTTTCCATAAAATTAAATTATTAACGATCCCTCCTCCTCCCCCTTCCAGTTATATAAAATTTATAGATACTATTAAAATTAAACCATGCGGCGCGACGACTTCAGGAACTAATACATCACGCTTGTCACGCAAACTGATCTAATTTAATAAGAATAACAGCTATGCAAGTGAATTTTTTTTGGTATACAGATAAAATCTTACAACACTTGAAAATAATGAAAATCATACTTTACATATTTTTTATTTGTTCACTAGATCAAAGAACTTTCACGCAACCCAGCGATGGTTAATGATCTGTAAAATCTGTTTAGTTAAAATATAGTCAGGTAGATGAAACACAAATACTATACCATTGTTAAAGTTTGCTCTGTAAATTAAGTAGAAGTAATCAAAAATGGTCAGACGTGTCGAGGTATAACTTAGATTTTGTTTTCGTGGAATAAGCGTAGAATAACACGCAGTACTTTTCGGAAAATCCATGTTTTTTAATGTACCCCCTCTACCAATTTTTATAGTGGAGTAAATCAAAAAGTAAATCTCGTTAGAATGAAATGACGGACAGGTGGAAATTCGATTAGGGTTCGTAAAAAACGAGCCTAAAAGCGTTCGAGGGAATTAAGGGCGTCCACGCCCCTTCGGAATCGTGGCTCGGGGGTGAAAAGGTCCAGGTGGTTCGCGGAAACTAGGATGGCGTCAAAACGATTAGCTCGATTGGATAAATAAGGTCAATATACAGGGCGAGCCACGGTGGAACGAGAAAAGAAGAAAACGTTAACGAGGCTAATAGTCCAATAAAGAGACTTATGAATTCGAGACACGCAAGTTCCTGCCGGCAGTGCGCCAGAGATTCGATGACCTTGTCATCGCCTCGATTCGCCACAATTAATGATGGGACTTGAAATCCTCGTCGGTTTAAAAATTGTCGGTTTGGCGCGAGAAACCATCTTTTAGCAAAAATAATATGTATTTCTTGCCCTTTAAACGTAGAGATAATAAAGGAAGAGTGAATTTTAACAGAGTACAAAAGGATTGATTAATTAACAAGAGATACAAAATTTGTATTACGAGGCTTGCTGGTACTCACTCTCTACAAGCCCGCTCTAAAATCGCGTATCAATGTTGCCAATTGTTGAGAAATTATTTCCCAACAAAAGTCTTACGATTCTTAACTCCGATAATCGATAATGGTTATAGGGTTTTATTTATCCGATATCTCGTACGCTTATGCTGCATCTTCATTACGTTTGTTTACAGCGATTTGTTTATACAGGTGTTTTAATCCTGTAAATCGGAAATCGAAGGGTGTTTTATGAATCGCGTAACGCGTTTCAGATGATACTTTTTCCGAGTTTAGTTGAAACAATTGAATCGTTTTCTGTACTCTAAGGAAAGATGTTCGAGTGAAAGCCGTTCCTAAGACGAAATGTTCATTGAAAAATAGGGCGGTCTGGTTGTCGGTCGACCAATAACCGGATCCACGTTCATCGTCGTGCAGTTACAATGCTATGCCAGGTCTGATGGGATCGGTATGATAATGGAAGCATAGATTAACACAGGGTGAAGGTCGTGCCACCTTCTCATTCTCGCACACCCGACCAACTCTTCCGGCAGCCTATCCTCCGTGACGTAAGCTTAACCCTTGCTGAGGTCGTCGCTGTTTTCTTTCCGCCACAAACTGTTTTACTTCCGAAAGTCGTTCTACGGGATCGTCGACGAAAGGCGGCCATTTTCGATAACTGTTTCGTCATGGTCATCGTAAAACAGGGACCCTAACCTTCGTAACCAAAACGGCGGTAAAAATCGTAGGATAACAATTTGTTCGATTTAATATGTTTTTTTTTGTTACAAACAACGACCGAATGAATCTTTTCGACGATGATCGTTGATGCAAGGACATTTTCGATCACAACAGTCATCGATGATAAAAATATTGTTCTTTTTTTTGTTTGTAGTATAATACAAAATGGAGTCGTCGGGCGTCGTGGATAAAACGAGACCGGCAAGATCTAATAGGCACTCGTGACAATAT